TATTTCCGAACCCGATCGTACGAATAATACAATATAGGTACGCGTAAGAGTTAATATTGTTATAAAAAAAGTGGTTAAAATATACATGAAAAAGCGTTAAATTCGTTAGGGCCGCGTGATTACTACGTTCGACATAGGTTAGGTATCGTAATATTAACAATATTATCGTCGTTATGTTCATCACTAGGTATTCCTAATATTATGTATGTATGTGCAATGTGCATGCGGTCGACAACGGGATTTGACTACACTCCCAGCCAACCCCCCCCCTTCCGGTGACATTTTGCACACCCACCAATATTTGTTACTTTGTTCTGTTACAGTAGCATTACTACGCTAGCTGTACTTTCGCATTTCGGTTTTACGTAAGCCGGCGCCTCGTGTATGCAATTCGTAGTGCGCCGATGCGCCGCCAGTAGGTATATAATATGCACGAAGACCAATTCGAACTAATTGCGTCCCGGCCGTACACATATATACGCGTCATTATTACAATAATAATAATWATTATTATTATTATGTCAGCCCAATAAAGYCGGGTTCACCTTAAAATAGCTGTTAGCTATATTATTTTTTTATGTGTCACGATAATAATATAATATAATATATATATATCATAATATGGTATACTCGCCGTAATAATATATCGATCGTCTTCCGCGTTATTTATCGTCGTTTTATTTTGTTTGTTTTTTCGTCCTGTCACTSCCGCGCGTATTAYCCGCTCGCGCATTTCGCTCAAAATACTCCCCAGAGGGTCAAGTCAAGCGAAAAATAATTATCGTTGTCACCCTTAGGCGCCCATAGGACCCTGCGGCGGTGGTATTGGAAAAGTCCACCTCGGAGGTGGTCTAGGACACGAGTGTGTGCAAAGGAATAGTGATTTGTATTCTAGACCGACGTGCCCGAGTATTATAACTGTTTTTTATTTTTTTTACTTTGATTACGATGTGATACATTTCACATATATTTTTATTTTATCAAATGCGTACCCCGTAATTGTGTGTACACATCTCCAGGGCCTTTACAAAGCACGTATTATATAACACCGTCGTACTATTGGATTTTGTCACTATAAATGGCCACGATTTCGACTTAATCACAACGGTTTAATATCTATTGCATATTTAAACTGTATTATATTTTCTTTTTGATTTTGATTTCGATTTCGATTGATTTGATTTGAATAATTTTTAAACTCGACACAGTATAGTTGTTGTATAAAACCATAAAGTATTGATTGTGTGGAGTAAATGAGTAATTTACACGTTACGGCTAGATTGATTGTTTGAATATACAATAAAGACTTCTTTTTTTTTCAATTATTTACATTGAAATTCGAACATATTAAGTGATTGCTATAATAAATTGATGACATGAAAGTTGAATCATTATTTATGCTGAGAACAGTAATGTGATGGACAATATATTTGTTAAGTGTAATGTGTATAGTGATTCAAAATACATATTTTTAAATGCCTCTGATAATATTGATACCCTTTAAATTGCTTAAGACGAAGGAAATAAAATCAACTATTAATCATCATTAAAGATTTTGGGGGATCTTTAATCAGAAAACTTGTCTAGTTTGTTTGACAAATTGACCTATTTTTGACACGTATTATATTGCCATGATTAAATAATAATAAATAATTATATACGTTGGTATAGCTATTGTAATATTTTAATAAAATATATTATATATTTTTATTTTCTTGGAATAATGTATTGCTACAATGACATTAATGTCAATACTCACTAGCATAATAATAAACAATTGTTTGGAAAACGTACAGTATATTTCCATTATCATAATTTGCTATTCATAGAATATTAAAACAATAGATCCGTTATAAATGTAATAGAGATACTGTTTTCTTACCACAATGTATACTTATGAATAATTGTATTATTGCTTACTGAATCTGTATTTTGTCAAAAAATTTCTTTTTTTTTTATAAAAATATTTATTTAAATGTATTGAATAAATATTTTAAGAAATACAAAACAAACAATTTCAGTTTTTCATTTTCTGGTAGTCATGACACCGTGTCGTTTTGAGTTTAAGATGGTGATCTTAGATTTTAAGATTCATAACGAATTGTTCCTTAATCTTATAATCTTACGTGTATAATATGTCCTTCGACAATGGAGCTATTCATATATTAATATTAATTATTTTAATGATGTTGGCATTGGAATAAGTATTTAATATGATGTCATACGAATAATAAGTAATTAAATTTCTTTTGAAAAACTTCAGTATTTCAAAGAAGGGGATTAACAAAACTCTAGCCTTTGGGGATTTATTAAAGAGGATAATGTGAGTGGAAAACCTTTCTAGTAGGATTCGAAAACTTGATTTCAAACGTCCTACATGGAGTAATRTTATTTTTTAATCCCTCGTCATTCGATAACAATATAATGGCATTGAAATTCAATTTTTACCCTCCAATACGTTATGGTGCCCTACTGCAGAAGCAAGTTTTCGAAGTTTTCGTAATATTCACCATGAAATGAAAAATACGCATGGACAATTTTATAGAATTTATTATTTTGTGGAATTCGTTATGATGTATTGAGACACCTGTACAATTTTTTATTGTTACCGATAAATTATTCTTTACACTACATTATTTCAAAAGAATAACACTCCTTAATGTTATATTACAAAAATATTAAAACCAACATTATATTGTTTAAGCCATAAGAAAACCATTTTTTTTTAAACATGTCTCGCTATTAAAATCATCAATCAACTATTAATTTGTAATTGTCTTCTCTTCCGTGTGTATTGATTTTAGATTCTGGAGGGAAAKAGAAAGCTGTCAACTTTACAATGATGTATAGTTTTTTTTCCAGTAAATACTTTTTGGCATAGTGCGAATAAAGCCACAAAATTTGGTGTAAYGTGCGCACATGATAAACTACTCTACTAGTGCACTATGTAAAATAGTTTAGAATAAAAATACAAATCGTTCAACAGAAAATTTACAGAAAAAATTTGAAAATGTATCACAAAGTTCGCCACAATAAAGAATGTCTTTTTTAAAGGACGAGATTTAAAAATAACGGTGTAATGAATATGGCCATATGGTACACAATATTTAGGAATATCGATTCCGAAATATTAATTCAAATATTTACAAAATTGCAGAAATTAGCAAATATTTTTGGAACATTTTAAGTTCAATTTTAGATGAAATTAAATATTCAAACGAAAAACAATGATTTTGGTTATTTTGTTGTAATAATTCAATATACATATAGGTAGGTACTCTACTAGATTATATATACACAACTATATTTTCAAACCACTTTAATTTTATGTGATTACCTATTTATACTACGAACCCACTGGCACAGTTCTACAGTAAGTCGGTATTGACCAAAAAGTTAATAAAAATAATATATATATATATATATATAATACAAATATACATTATGGTAGTAAATAAATAATGATAATGTAATTAATTCAATGATCTGGTGAAAATGAATTCTAAAACAGCAATATATCACAAAATATTCTTAGTAATTAGTAATTTTACATGGACTGACCATTTTATTTATCATTGAATTCAAATTTAACTTAGGTATATACGGTAAATTACTCAATTACGAAGTACACTTGACACCTAAAAATGTACAGCAGAGGCACAGAGCGGTTGCCTACTTTTAACTCGTTTTAAAAATATATTTATTAATTAGTTATAAATTATAATATTATAATAAGTATAGGTATTGTTTTTATTAATCATTAGTGATATTTATCACGATTTCTATTTTCCTCGAAGAAAGAAGAATGGTAAATGGAACTTATACAGGGTATTTCAATAAGGATGCTCGATGTTTCATTGTAAAAACAACAAGTTGTGTGTGAGATATCCACTCAATTTTTATTTTATTTTAATGAACGTTATAATATGTCAATTAAGTATGCAATWTAACATCGTTTAAATATCCACTAAGGCTTTGCTTGGTGGCACGTATTCAGGAGGTCCAATTTTCTATCACTTTGTCGCATAAATCCAGTTGAATTTGCTWGATGGCATTGGTTATGTTAACTTAGAGAGCATCAATAGTTTTTGGTTTATTTGCATAGACCTGTGATTTAAGATAGCCCAGAAGAAAAGTTTAAAGGCGTTAAATCGCACAATATTGGAAGCCAGTTTATGTCGCCATTATGTGATATCACTATGCCCTCAAATCGTTCACSCAGAATATCCATTGTTGTACATAATTGTGTGAGGATGTGGCCGACATTTCAACGATATTATATTCCATACATAATTGCCATATAACGTTAAATAAAATAAAATAAAAATTGATTAGATATCTCACACACAACTTGTTTTTTGCACAATGAAACATCGAGCGTCCTTATTGAAATACTCTATATATTACTATTATAATTATGGTTGAATAAATAATACTAAAAACCCGCATAGTTTTCACAGACGCGAGCAATAATAAATAATAACAAATTTCAATAAAACATAATATTAAATTATTATCGTTTTAATAACGCGACACGACGATGTGTTTTCATCATATCTATTATACGGGGTATTCGATCACTTGCGGTAGAAGAAACTATGGTGCTGTTTGTGAGGGCAGCGTCAGTAGTTGGTGATCCAGCTGTGATTGAGCGGTTTGTGGAGGTAATTCTGGCGGTTGCTGTGGAGGTGGATCCGGAAGACTGTTGCATGATTTGCCTGTRCTTRATAAACGCGTTCTGATGCAAGTCGTACGCTGAATCATGAATTCGGAACCCGTAAAGCTTGGACACATACCGTCCTTCAGGCCGAGACGGAATGTATTCAGGTCGCGTCATCAACACCATGTGAGGTAAACCCGTGCCGAAATATGCACCGTCCACAGCTGCAGCTTTCACCCCTGGTTGAAGGGTGTACACATCCATGCACCGAGGACAGAAGATTCTCACAGTGTTCCGCCCGACCACGTCGCATAGTCCTATAGGTAAGACAAACGGCATTAGGTCAACGTAAGTTCAAGACGTAACAGGTATATATGTAACAATATAATAAACTTGTCCACGGTTCGTGCCTATGGTTTATAGGTAGAGCTGTAGACACGATATGCGGAATTTGACCAAACGTGTTCTAACGTGGTCTGCAGCGGGTGACCAGTTAAATATTTAAGATACACAAGGACATTGATGTAGTATTTGAATTATGAAATATTACACAAAAACGTGAAACTTTGAAATTTTTTAATACAAATTTGAATGATTATTTATCAATAATCTAACCAAAGAAAATCATCACTAATGAATAGTTTGTGACTGTTTTCCCTAATATTATAAAGTTGTGAAAGTTATGACAATTATACACAAAAATAAAACTAATTAAAAAAATAAAAATGTTGAAATACTGAAATACTGAAATATTTCACAATTTTGAATTTCATTAAACTTTCAACCACAACATTGGTTTGACCTCTGTAGATATGATTATCGTAGCTAGTGGCATATATATGTATAACTATTTAACCATATAAGGATCTTAAATAAATTTTATTTGACACTAATCCGATTATATTTGTTTTTTTATTATTATTATTTTAAATGTTTTCCTGACAAAGTCTAAACTTAGGTATAATGTACACATTTTTTAGCTATTTATAAGAACAATATTAACATAATATGTAGTAAATAACTAGGTTAACCAATTAACGATGTACAATTATATTTATGAAATAAGTAATAACATAAAATATATTTTAATGACCAGAACTCAATATCAGTTGTTATTAGGTTTTATTGACTACAAAATAAAAACATAACAATAAACTTACAAAGTAGGTAGGTTGTAGATAAATTAAGTTTAACAGCAAGCGACTTTTTCGTAATCGTGCGGAGTTCGGTGATGTATGAAAGGTGTTAGAGTACATAATATATAATGTGTCCAGTGAATCTCYGTTTTTACATTGTGTATAGTGGCAATGGATCTCATTTGTGCCTCATATTGCGTGTGAATATATTATTATATCGGTCAGAAACTCAGAACTTCAGAGATTAATCGTATTAAATCATAGAACTACAAATCTCTTGGCTACGGCTTAATTAGATCCAAACTCGCTGTCTATCTTACAAATAAGGCTATATTATACTATTCTTGACTTTTATATTCAACTATTTATGATAAATTGATAATACTCACCTGCCATGCTAAATTTAAGAGATTTTCTATACCTAATAATGATGTCCCATAAACCAGCAAAACCTTCAGAAATTTCACAATATTACAGATCTACCAGTGCTTTACATTACTACTCAAACATTTTTAAAACAATTATTCTAAATAGCCTCTTCCCCACATTAGAAAAAAAATATAAAAAATACATGCAATTTGGATTTAGATATAATCTATATAACTCCACAGTACATCAGATCTACCGTTTTGTAAATAAGATTTWTTTTTCTATCGAAGAAAGCTTAAATGCACAAAAGTGTTCCTGGATGTTGCACAGATATTCGATCAYGTGTGTCACTTAGAAACTCTACACAAAATCAAGGTAATCCCCTTACCTGTGCCTACTGATCAAATAATATCTAAATKACTGAAATTTCTCTGTATGTTCTGGAACAAATATATTTATAATGTTTCTAAAATTTAAGCCAACGCCAATGTCACACAAGTAGCAATTATCGCGCAACTACTTTTAAACATTTATACTGTAGATAAACCCATTGTACAAAATATTATAATAATTCACTTACTTACATGTCACTTAAGTCTAGGCATTTTATCTTTACAAACCCGACTAAATCTGCTAGCCTCGTAACATACAAAATGGGACTTGAAATTAAACAAAACTAAATCCACTCACTAGAATTTTATACTACGTACCAGAGGCTGTTCACTATAATACATTAATGTTTTTTAATAAACCTAGCCTAACCTAACCCCTGTCTTACTCTCAAAATGTCAAATATTTTGAACTGACCTTATTAGATCACGACTCATTTATAGTCCCTTCATATACGCTCCAAACGTCAAACTCTAAACAGTCTAAACGATCACAGCCGCTGTTTGCGACCCTTATTTACTTATCTCTAAACATATCCCCTAACCTAACTACTTATATTATACAACATGCTATACTCGACCATTATGGGTGTATCGTATTCGATTCTGGGGTCTACAGCAAAATCTATCGAAATTACTGAATACACATCTATCAATCCAAAACCCTAARACAAATCACTAGTTTCATATTAAGTTTTTAATCACACCATCTACCACGACCTACCCCTTTGTTGCCAATGTGACAAAAATACATAATAAAAGATTTCATGTTCGCTTCCTAAATCAAAGAAATCTACTTATAAATGATATATTTTACTTATATTTTTCCCTTATAATCCACCCCCATCCACAAACGACTTAAGTATAATACTATATTATTAATGGTGTTGAGATTTTTGACTAATTAAAATTTATCTTTTCAAGCTATGGAGGATCATCGTTGAATGATTTCTCTCTTCATGCTACCCGACGATAATTAAAGCAAGCCTCCAAATATTTGTWGCAAAAATGAATTTRCAGATTGTGTAATAAAAACGAAGAAGGTGTATATTTAGTTTGAGAACGACCTTCAAAAAAGGTCTGGACACCCCTAAATATAGACTATCATTAAAATGTAACCAATTTTAGACTTAAGTCTTACTTTTAATGACTCATCAATGAAACAATAGTCAATAGGTCATAGTCAGAATAACGAAAGCATTATGATAAATCGTGTTTTTGTGGAATATTATTATTTCWATTAGTAATACTTTTTACGCGACTTTTACATTTTTGTTATTCRAAAGAAACGAGCAGATAACTAGTGAAATGTCGTACGGGTTACTCACGTACGAAATTATTATTTAAATTATATACACTCACATAACATACTTATATTATTGTTACGCGCATCTCCGTTGATTTATGTCACGGGGAGCTCAACTTGTAGCAGCTTTATCTTTCCACGTGTATAAAGGTGCTTGCATAAAATCTGCGTTCTCGTCAGAGTGCAGATTTGTTTTATGAGATCTTTCCACCACAAATATATTATATTTCTCCAAATTTGAAAGAATTGGGGAAAAATTCACGAATTTGCGAATTACGTGGACAGTGCAACATCGTATCTTACACAACAAGTGACGAAATCAACTATAATCAGCGCCTAGCGATTTAAATGTATTATTTTAGATACTCATCGTCTAAAATATAGTGTTAAAATCGTATTAAATATCACTGCCGGATCCAATTCCTGTATAAATATCATAATTWTACCAAACAATTATTGCAAACGTTGAGATGATACGTCAATAATTATAATAATTCACCTAATACGAAAGAACAAAATGGGAACAAAAGAGCTGATATCAGCCCATCGAATAATGCTGTTGTTGAGTTTTAAATACGAGTTATAGGGGCAGAACAGTGAATAAATATTCGTCACTTTTTAACTAGTAAAAAGTATATTTTCATGGAGTGTTCATTTAATATTTAAGAAAAAAGTACCTACATTCCATTCATTTTAAGGGAAATTGTAGGCGTCATAGTATTAAATCACTTAGATGATTAAAAAGTATAAGGGTAAAAAATATATTAACATTATATGATGTCAAAGACGTATAATTATTATGATATCGATTGTATAGAAATCAATTACAAATTCCATTTGGCTGTGACTTATGTAGTATTTACGGTGGTTTTACCTAAAAAACTAATTTATTCGACAATTACGTGACATTGGGGTATATTAATGTAACATTATATTTCAAGTAGATAAAGTCGAGCGGA